TTATGTAATCTTTATTGAACCTAATCATTTAAAAATCCCGTATGCATCTTAATGAAAAATGTATTGGAAAAAGATTATGTTTGTGTCAGATACTTTGTCATCATAACTTACCATCTGTGATATAGGATGATAACAATCTATAAAGTCCATGACTATATACATCATAAATATTCCATACGTTAACGAACATTCATTTTTTATTATTTAGTTGTAACACCAAAAAAAGGCAATATAGCTACAATTGTGTAGAATAAAAGTGACTACTTCCTTAACAAGAATGTTTTAATAACGAATTCGAATTCCACCTCTTCATAAAAGAAATTATCAGTATACGGATACAAAAACCAACTTGTCATAGATGTGGAGTTGAGTATATATTATCGCATTAGCTCACTTATGATTGTTTTAAAGTAAGCAATATCGATCCCTAACACTTACTGATGAATACCTACTGTTTCATTTGCAACCTATTATTTGTCATCAAAAGCACAAAGTGGATAGGACACACAAAATTCTGATTTTTATCACTAGTTGTGTTCTAATGAACTAGACGCATCTCGCAACTAAAAAGTGAATCGTACTTAAGTACTGAGATACTAATAATAAATAGATTTATTCAATATTATTTGTAAGGTAGAACAAGCACAACATAACCAACAGATCTGCAGCTAAGAGTGCTAGTGCAAATGTGATAGGCGAACAAATTCCATGATATTTCATCATGAAAGTGATCGATTGTCATTTTTCTAAAAATATATTCAGCATTCATATTTCTAACAACAATATATAGCTTTATTTTTCTGTGAGATTTTGTTGAGTTACATCGGACTCATCACCCAGTGTACGCCTTGAGGACGAATTCACCTTCGTTAAATCAAGATTAACATCCTAAAAAGTCGGCCAATTTACACTAAATAGCACCTTAAAAATCTCAATATTTGCATCACGAATAAATGATCTTTAGAAAATCTTACTGTCACGTTTGACCAGAATATATGTTCATAAAGGGACATGTCAATTTACTTTAAACTATTTATTTATGTAACGATTATCGGTGATATCGAAAGTCGTTCATGTTGGGACAAAACAGACATTTTTGATCATGAAAAGTTAGTCATTTTATTGGTTGAATAGTAGCTACGTATAAGACTTACTGATTACAATCTCATAGAAATCGTATCAGTAGTTGTGTATTATAGATCTCCTGTCCCTAATATAGCTCACATACTTGTTCGTTAGTAAATAAATATCAGCTTTTGTAAGCTAAACGATTTAGTATGCTTATGAAAATATATAAGGGCATTCTATCGACCACGTTCAATTGTAAAATATATACTGGTCTAGATCAGTCAGAAGCTGTTCATTATAAATCAAAAAGTACTCTGAGAAGTACTCTAAAAGGTGCCCAATCGTTAAGTTGACTGAAAAACTGATAGATAAGACATTCAACAATAATCTTTTCTATCTTCTGACTCATAAAACCAAATATGGTATTAAGAAAATTTTTGTTCAAACTTAAACATGAAATTGTTCCGTCCAATAACAAATTCGATAGATTTCAGTTTCAAACACATACTAGGCACATGGACTCATTATAATAATTTATCTAATCAGCACGTTTTATAAATCCACCATTGAGACGATTGCAACCAGGCAGCTGGTTTTAATGAGCTACTGAATAAGTTTAGTAGGAAACGAATTAAGCAGCTGTCTGACGTGTGAACTTCGCTGGGATGAAACAACACAGGATACGATAATTACAACATTTTTAGTTGTAGGTAGGAAAACTGTGAAATCATCAATGATCTTCGAGAAGATTGTAAATCAAAGAAATTCATGAAATAGCTTGATGAAAAACTTTTAAAGAGCAGTATTAGTATGTGAGTGAAAGTGAATTATTTCGTACAATTATTTAGTAAATTGTAATACTCCAGAGCTGAATTAGTCTTACAAATATGAGGCGAAATTTTCTGCATACCAATAACTTGCAATTTGAAAAGATATGTATCAATATAACAAATCATGTTAGTTATAAACCTCCAAACATTACGATGATGTTATTTTGATGAAGTGAGAATTTACAATAATCAACATTTCAAAATATCTTGCCGACGATGACAGTACGAGATATATATCTTTTTTTCCATTCTGTTATGAGGTTTTCAACAATTAGCACTGATATGATGGGTAATGTCTTAACTATATTGAATGAGAGTAACTTGTAAAATTGGTTTTCGCCAATCGCCTATGAATTTTAACACTTATTATTTTTCCGTTAACGTTTTACCTATTAGCATGTTATTTTCTTAGGGAAAAAACGTTTCTGTTAGGCAGATATGTTATCTTTTAATATTAGTGTTATGAACGGGGAATTAAGAAGCCAGACAATTACGAAAGCTATTTCCTTGGGACGTTATTGCATTTCATTCAAAACCTGTAAAACACTTATATTTATTTTCGTCCCTATCTTATTCTACATAACACGAGCTTTCGTTCTATGTATCATTCACTAGCATACCCTTTTTTGTTCCAAAAATATTGTAATTTAAACATTATATTTTGCACTATATTTTCTACCTTAATTCCCTGTTTCGGGCATAACTGTATTTTTCCAAATTATCCTACGTCGTGGCCAAGATATGCACTTATTTATTCATGTACATTTTCGAGCCCCGCGTGGTGCGGGATCGTGGATGCGTACTGCTGAGGAGTCCCATACTAGGACGAAACGGCCGTCCAGTGCTTCCAGGTTTTCAATGGTGGTCTAGCTTCAACTGACTCATGATTTCAACTTGTGAAATTTTTGTAGTAATCCGAATTCAGAGAATCCAGAGTTCAGTGTTCCAACTGTCTTGTCTTCTTTCACTCGCGTGCTTGCCAACCAATCAGGATTTAGAATAGTTCTCTCTACCCCAATCGAACTCACGCGTATTAAACTCAAGGTTAAGCCACTCAGCCTAGCGCGTCAAGGTCAAGTCATAACAAGTATCACGGGGTAAAAGCCATCCAAGGTCATAACAACTGGCGACGGAGAATTTTTTTTTCCTATATTGATTGATCCAGTACAAAATGCCTGTTTCATTGGATGACCTTAAAACTATTCTTCAAATGCAGCAAGCACAAAATGAGGCAAATCAAACGAAGCTGTTGGATGCATTCGCACGAATGTTCTCATTACAGTCGTCCTCAGCTTGTCAATCAGATAAGCATGAAAGCACCATAAATTCTATTTCTGAATTCCAGTATGGTCCTGAAGCTAATATCATTTTCAGTTCGTGGTTTCACCGTTGTGAAGATATTTTCCGCGTTGAATGCTCGCATCTTGATGACGCAGCAAAAGTTCGCTTACTCTTAAGAAGACTGGGAACACAGGAATATAATAAATATGTGAATTTTGCCGCAAAATCCACGAGATATATCATTCAAAGATACAGTCCAGATTTTATCTGATATTTTTGATGAACAGTCCTCATTATTTAATACTCGCTATAAATGCTTCCAAATAACGAAATCTCCAGAGGACGATTATCTCACGTATGCCGGGAAGGTAAATCGACAGTGCGAACGCTTCAAAATAAACGAAATCACAGCGGACCAATTTAAATGCTTGATTTTCATATGCGGTTTAAAGAATGAAGAAGATGCAGATGTCCGTACCAGAATGCTGGCACGCATTGAACAAGAACCAAATATGACATTACAAATGGTCACAACCGAATGTCAGCGGTTACTTAATCTCAAGCATGACACTGCGATGGTGCAACAGAAGGGTAAACCTTCCGGTTCTGATTCAATTAATGCGCTCCGATCCATAAAATCATCGAAACAAAACTGTACAAGCAGGAAACAACCTGCCAACCCTCCATCACCATGCTGGTTCTGCGGAGCATGGCATTTTGCAAAATTCTGTCCGTTTAAGAATCATAAATGCCGCAAATGTCATCGCATTGGCCACAAAGAAGGTCATTGTTCGTTAAATAAACGCAAGACTAAACATCGTAGTGAAAATTCAAAGCAACGATCAAACAGTCAAATTAAAACCACGTTTGCAACCTTTAAAGTTGGATTTAAAAGTAGGCGGAAATTTGTAAATTTATTAGTAAATGAAAAACTTATACGACTTCAGTTGGACACTGCTTCTGATGTCACGTTGATTTCAAAGAACACATGGCACAAGTTAGGATGCCCATCCATCCGACCGACGGAACATGTCGCCCGAAATGCGTCAGGAGACATAGTAAAGTTGACAGGAGAGGTTCTATGCAATGTTCAACTTATGGGAAGTAAATTTACAGGTGTTTGTTATCTAACAAATCGACACGATTTAGATCTATTGGGATTAGATTGGATTGCACATGTTGATACTTTGAATAAATTATTAGATGAGGTATGTTCTCAAAATGTTTCCTATGAGTCTATCGAAATCCCTAATAATATTTCTAAATCAAATGCCTCCGACGAAGCATCCTCTCTGGATATTAACGAATTAAATGCTTCTGATGAAACATGTTCTTATGATCTTTCTGAATCAAACAATTCAAATGTTATGTGTTCTCACCATGTCAAATCAAATACCGCCGATTCATTGCCTTCTCATAAAATTTCCAAATCGAATACTTCAGACAAAGTATGCGCTAGTGAAACTTCGGAATCTCATGTACTTCTTTCTAATGTTATGTCTACATCAAAGTCTTCTGCTTCTTCTCAATTATCGCGCTTAATAAGCAATCATAAGCTTGAAAACGAAGATACTGTTATCGCTTCTATATCAGTGGAAGATGATGTAAGCAGAATGTTGTTAAATTCAACACAAATTCTTCCAGTGACAGCTGCTCAAATCGCTGAACACACTCGCCGCGATCCTATCTTAAGACGATTATCTACATTTATCCAGCGTGGTTGGCCCCCACGTATAACATCTCATGAACTGAAACAGTATTATCAACGACGCCAATCTTTATCCATCGTAAATGACTGTATTATGGTTGCTGATCGCGTAGTGGTTCCGTATAACTTACGCTCACTCGTCCTGAAAGAACTGCATACAGCCCATCCAGGTACTGGAAGAATGAAAGCTATTGCTCGGAGTTATGTATATTGGCCTAATATCGATGAACACATCGAAGATTTCGTGCGTGCGTGCAGAAAATGTGCTGAGGTTTCTAAGTGTCCACGAAAAGCTGAACTACATTCCTGGCCATCTCCAGAAGAACCTTGGTCGCGTATACATGTTGATTTTGCTGGCCCATTCCAGGGTACGTACTTCCTCGTTTGTGTTGATGCTTATTCAAAATGGCCGGAGATTTTTCCTATAAATCAAATCACTTCGCAACAGACTATCATGAAGCTACGGCAGTTATTCTCCCGTTTTGGAGTTCCAGATGTTCTCGTGACAGATAACGGCACTCAGTTTATTTCTTCCATCTTCTCAGATTTCTGCAAGAGGTTTGGTGTCAAACATGTCCGTTCACCTCCGTACCATCCACAATCGAATGGTCAGGCCGAAAGGTTTGTAGATACCTTCAAAAGAGCGCTACTGAAGGCAAAAGGGGAGGGGAAGATAGAGGAGATTCTTGATGACTTTCTCTTGGTCTATAGAACAACTCCAAACCCATCAACACCAAATCAAATGTCCCCAGCAGAAATTATGTTTGGTAGAAAAGTAAGAATTGCTCTCGATGCCATGAAACCACAGCAAATAGACATCGGAAAAAGAAACAGAAAGATGGAAAACCAATTTGATCGCCATCATGGGGCGAAACGCAGAATTTTCCAAAAAAATCAAAAAGTATACGTCCGCGATTTCCGATATTCACCTCCACAATGAACCAGTGGACGCATACTTAAGAGACAAGAGAACGTAATGTATGTGGTGGAAGTTGAAGGACAGAAGTGGACACGCCATGTCAACCACATACTGGAAAATGCTGGCACTTCACAGAAAAGCGAGAAATTAGACTCAATGTGGAAAATCATTCTGGACAGTTTCGACATAAAAAGCTCAGTAACTCAGAAGACTGCGCAACATGAACAAGGTCCTATTAGGAAAGCATCACGGAAACGCAGAAGACCAGATATTCTACAGGTAGACCCAAAGAGGAGAACATACGTTTCCGAAGGAAGATATCAATGATGATATCTCAGCACTTACCTGTATAAAGTACCTAACCATATTTCTTTTTTTCTTTTTTTTAAAGGGGGAAGGTGTTATGAACGGGGAATTAAGAAGCCAGACAATTACGAAAGCTATTTCCTTGGGACGTTATTGCATTTCATTCAAAACCTGTAAAACACTTATATTTATTTTCGTCCCTATCTTATTCTACATAACACGAGCTTTCGTTCTATGTATCATTCACTAGCATACCCTTTTTTGTTCCAAAAATATTGTAATTTAAACATTATATTTTGCACTATATTTTCTACCTTAATTCCCTGTTTCGGGCATAACTGTATTTTTCCAAATTATCCTACGTCGTGGCCAAGATATGCACTTATTTATTCATGTACATTTTTGTAGTAATCCGAATTCAGAGAATCCAGAGTTTAGTGTTCCAACTGTCTTGTCTTCTTTCACTCGCGTGCTTGCCAACCAATCAGGATTTAGAATAGTTCTCTCTACCCCAATCGAACTCACGCGTATTAAACTCAAGGTTAAGCCACTCAGCCTAGCGCGTCAAGGTCAAGTCATAACAAGTATCACGGGGTAAAAGCCATCCAAGGTCATAACAATTAGTTAATTCAAAGATCTCTCAGCCACCTCGTATCATTGTATATCATCCATCGATCAATATTCTGTTCATTCTTTTTAACAATTTAAAGTATATTCGCTTAGTAAATCCTAAATGACAACAGTGGCGGCAGGCGAAAACTGGATTGTTGAGATATGAATTATATTGGATGATGCATTGAAATTCTTATACTTCCAGTTCATGCAACCATACTCATCAATTCATTTCTCAATGAGCTAAAAATTGAACAATATTCAAAAACTATTTAGTCTTACTCAATTGCAGCTTAAAAAGAATGTATCATTGAGAGAAGATTTAGTTCATACGGAAGTTTAGGGGTTCTAAACAATTAATTCAGAAAGTCAATCGTAAGTCTAAAAGTCTGAGCTGATTGAAATTGAGTAGAATCGTAGGTGTCTGAATTTTCATAAAACTAATCAACCTCAGCTCTGGAATCTTCATCTTAATATTCTGAATGCTCAGTTTAGTCTACAGCATATTCAGCTGATCAGTCCCTTTAAGCCACTTATCAAAGATGCTCACGAAAACCATTGACAGTCACAATTACAGAATGTCGTTGCATTTCAAACCATGTGACAAATTTTCAGCTTAAAGAGGAGGGAGGGAAATCTAAAGCTTATGTTTGATTAGCCATCTGCTTTTTATTAATATGCACATTCTGTTCATTTTCTTGTAGCTAAGCGTGGTCACGTTTGCCACAGTGAATGTTTACCAGAACTTGGTTGTTGGGGTGCTGAGGCTAATATGTGTGCTCATTGTTGTGGTTTAAAGGCTGGTGAGTATTGCGTGTCTCGATGTACAGATCATCCTGGCTTTTATGAACTTCCAACATCTTTCAATCATTCAATTCTGGGAAAGACCAATAATAATCCTGTTTGTCGAACTTTACCTTTAACTAAAAGTGACATGGCAAAAATGGATGAACAAGCAATCATTGCATCCGTAGTCCCTTCAGAAACATGTGCCATCTGTCATCCAGAATGTGCTCAGACATGTTATGGTCCTAATGCAAATCAGTGTGTTGGAGAATGTAAGCACTACCAGGTAAGTTGCGAAGCAGTAAAACAATTATCAATAGAACCAAATAAAGCAAGTAAATGAAGCAATTTAACTGAAGTAAACTTGTTCAGACAATTGTATGTAGACGACCTATATTTTGATATAAGTAAATGTATGTTTTTCTAAAGACAATACAAGTCGAGATGTGAGTCAGAATTACACATTGGATAAATGAGATAAATGAGAAGATGTATATCAATGCAAAATTTAAAAAAAGATAATCTGGGGAAAAATTGACCAAAAGATTACAGACTTTAAAATAAATCAGGCTACAAACTTGGAGAAAAAACTACTGATCAATTCTATCTTAGATAGTCCTTTCAAAAATGCCTTAAAAGGTAAACATTCAATTGCCCAGTATTCCTTTTATCCGATGAATTTCTGAATATATTTCGTTTACTAATATTTAGTTGACTATATAGAAAGTTATTTTACATGGATCAACAAAATCATTAAAAAGAAATACTTATCCTGTAAACCAAAACTTAAATGAAGAGATTAACTGTGGATAAAATAGGCTAAATCTGAAATTCCCCAAGATAACACTAACTTTCCCCTAACTTCCACTAAGTTTAAGTTTACGTTTTTACATTTCCTGTGTAGTGTTGTTTATTATGGAACCTAATTTTAGCCAGAAAGGAAAGTCATTAGTTTTTGCTTTTCAGAATTATTAGTATTTGTAGCTGTCTAATGGTTCGTCTATAAAAGCAATGTTTTTTACCTAACAACATTTATTACCACTATCAAGTTTTTTTTCAGCATGGTGATACCTGCTTACCTGAATGTCCACAAAATACATACGTAGATCCACAAACCCACTATTGTTTACCTTGTAATGAGTCGTGCAGTCACATACTGACCACTGGGAAAAATCACTTATGTAGTGGCCCAGGGAACTTTCTTGGCTTGGGTGGTTGTGAAACATGTTGGACAGTTATACAAGGTTAGTTATCAATATTAAATCTAATCTGGAATTTTTTGTAGTTATGCTTCCTTTAGAAACACGGAAATCAGCAAATTACTCTCAGTTGTGTCAACATACGTAAACTAATTAAGGGTCTATCTGATTCTACATATTCATGAAATACTTCCTAAAATGGGCTTCTTATTTTCGCTTATATCCAACCATTTAGATAAGTTAGATTAAGAATATAAGTATATATATTACATAGACACAATGAGATATTTGAATAGCAAATGTAGATTTTGTTGAGATTTATTTAAAAAATTTGATATCTCTCAACAAATCATATGCTTTTGTTAGTTAACTTCACTAATCTTATTTAAGAAGCGCCTCAGTCGAGTTTCTTAACACAGGGAATAAAGAATAACTATTCTTTCGACATAACCAAATATAGTGACTTTCCTTTGGTGACTTGTTTCTCGATCACAAATGACGAAAGACTTATCGATATAACTGTGAACTCTAGTTTTCTCTAGTTTCCAAAGCATATCACTGAAATGAACTAGATCTATGTTCAGTTTCTTAGATTAACTATTTATTAGTATTATTCCTTTGAAAGGAAACATGGTACACTGAGAAACTCTGTACACCCTCATCACTCATTACTTTCTTCTTCCTATAGGCAGGAGTTTTAGAACCATTGTAAAGATTCTGATGTATGATATAATATGGTTTACTGGGTGTAAATATCTTATAGTTGAACTTGCATCTCTGTCAGTTAACATAGTGTGTTCATCAAGGTTAGATTAGTAAACTATTGAACGATGACTCATTAGTCTGAAGGTTAAGAGCTCTTCGCGAAGTCCAAAGAACCTGGGTTCGATCCCTTAATGGGCCGCGGATACTCATTTATTAGGAGCCTTAGACTGAGACGAAACGGTTGTCCGTTACATCTTGATTTTCAATGATTGTCTAATCAAAATCAGTCTGTAATGTTGAATTCCGAATAGTCTGTTCATGCTGGATGTTCAGGAAGTTTCGCAACTCAATCCCCAGTGAATCTCGCGGTGTTCGCACCTACGCAGACTGGGACACAAATCAGTGTCTTATACACAGGGATATCGTTCATATCCACTTCAATTTCCTTTTGGTCTTTCTAGGTATATATGAGCGTAAATTCAATGACTTTACACGACTTCAACAAGACTGTCAAATAGTATTAAAATAATCCATACAACTGAAGTTGCTTGTTTACTGAAGTTAATAATAGGGTGATATTTTTATCTGAGACTAACTTTACTGTAATAGTTAAAAGCTTTATTAGTTAATTAATCGGAAAGTTTGAATTTATTTTGTCACTAGATAGGACAACAAACAAATACCAATGTCTACCCGATGATTGTCCTCCCAAACACTACACAGAATCTTATCAAACACAAGATTTTATAAACAAAGAAAATATCATTGTATCTTCTCATAATCAAGTTAAAAAAGGTGAACTTGGGGGTATGATCCGTGTGTGTAAACCGTGTCATCCATTTTGCGATTTATGTACAGCAAACGGAACACATGCATCTATATGTCATAGTTGTACTCATTGGTGGTTTAAATCAGAATGTGTAGAGGTTTGTCCACCCGGTAGGTTATTTATTTAACAAATCTCAAGACATTTAGTCCTCTAAAACGTTTTCTTTATCTGTGATATTTTAATGTCTATTTCATTGGTTTTTTTAATGTGTAAGTAACAAAAAAAGTTCCGAATTCAAGAACTGTTTCATCTAATAGAGATTGATGCTTTTCGTTTGGAAGATTTGATTCACAGCTTTGTCCGTTTCATGGAACAGTTATTTTTAGTGTGCACAAAACGAGTGGTATTATGAAAAGAATGAAATAAGAACTTATATCACTACTTCACCAATCTGTCTACAAAATGAACGTTTCAATCGAAATAAAGAACCAATGCTAGAATGTATAACTCAGTCAATTGACCCATTTAACTAAACCGACAAAAATTCATTCATAACCCATTCTTGGTTATCATTGCAAGACAGAAAATGATCACAAACGTATAACTATATGATGTAAAGTTGCACTTATACGGGGATGGGGTAAAACAATAAAACTTGACTTGGAAAATCTTATCATGAAGCTAATAGTTAATCAAGAGTGA